TCATTTGGGTAGGAATTTTATTTTTTTTTGAAAATCGACAATTTTCCTAGACTACATTTTATCAGTAAAATCTTAGTAGTAATTTATACTAAACTTTGTTTATACCCATGGAATATGATGCTTGTGAAAAAAAATTATAAAATATTGCAGTTGTTTTTTCTATCTCCCTTAAGGATTGAAAGTGATGGAATATTAACATTCAATTTATAAAAGTTTAGTATCTCACAGGGATTTGTCTGTGACTATTTCGGTTTATGTTAGCTTTATTCGGGTTCGAAAAAAGGACGGTTCTAGAACGGTTCGCAACAATCGGAGAGTTTATTATTGAAATTTGTGATAGCCGAGCTGTTGTTGTTTTGTTGATTGATGACCTGTGCGATTGTTTTGATTGATTGTCCCTTTCTTAAACCCGAATAGGCCCAATCCAGATAGGCATGTGATTCGGAAATACGTTATTGAACTAGTAGCTAAGTTTAGGGAGACAGGATCATTGGCAAATCGAAAACGAATCGCTCCGAACCGAGTAGTGGGTAACGAAGCAATGGAAGTTGCTGTTATGGGCTATGTCAATATCCAACCTACCTAAAGTACTAGGCAATTATCTACAGTTTCTGGCATATCCCGTTCAAGCATTGGAAGAATTTTGAAAGGCCATAATAATATAATATAAAATTCATCTTGTGCAAGAATTAAATGAAGATGATTTTGATAGACGTTTGCAATTTTGCGAGATAGTTATTGAACGGATATTAAATAACCCGCACTGGTTATTCAACATTTGTTTATCGGATGAGTGTTCTTTTTTTGTCAACGGTAGGTACTGTTAATCGTCATAATTGTCGGTATTGGTCTGACGTAAACCCAACACATATTCCATGAAGCTCACACTCAATATCCTGAGAAACTAAACGTCTGGGCTAGAATTTATGGCGATTCGTTAATTGTTCTTTTTTTTTCTACCCGGAAATCTAACGGGAGAAATGTACTTGCGATTGGTAGAAGACGCAATCCATCCCGCATTGATAGACATTCTTGAAAATGATAACCGTGATGATGCGAATGAGTTGACATTCCAACAAGATCGAGCATCTGCTCATTATACCCTAGCTGTCCGTCAGTATTTCAACCGAACTTTTCCTGGTAGATGGATCGGTCGAAGAGGACCAATAGAGTGGCCCGCAAGGTCACCTGATTTCAGCCCATTAGATTTTTTTCTATGGGGTCACTTGAAAAGCAAAATTTATTGAACTCAACCAGCATCTTTAAATGATTTACGTCAACGGATCATTGATGAATGTCGGGCCATTACACCTGAAATATTACAGAACGTTCGGAACCGTTTTAAGCAAATACTACTACACTGCATGGATGCGGAAGGTCAACATTTTGAACACTTGATAAAATAAAAAGTAAATTAATAAAGTATAAAGAACACTTTGAATGTAGGTACATTTTTTTATATTAACCTAATTTGCGAGGTTACCACCATCAACAACCTGTGTGATATACAAAATTATATCACATTTTGACGTTTAAAAATGACATTGTTAAACGCGAAACAGCAAAGGTAAGAAAGAGAAGTTCATCACCTGAGTTATTTAATAGTTGTTTATGATGCTGAAAGTGACATTTTATTTTGTGAGAAGGGAAGTTTAAGACACGACGCCGAATAAGGCGGAGTGTCCCATTCCTTTGAACATAGCACGTATATCATACACTATTTTTTCTACAAACACAGCAACATCTGTGTTTAAACTGTTAAAACAAAGTAATAATATCCTCGAGATTACCATTTTTGAATCTAATTTTTTTCTAATTTATCTGACAAGTAACGTCAAACAAACATTTGTCAAGCGGATAATAATCATTCAATAATTTTCAAAAAATCACTTTTAGCACAAGTGCTAAAAGCAAATTACGTCTAACACCACTTTTAACACCAGTATCATAAAATGGCATTTTAGACACTGACAGCATGCATTCAAAATTATACTTTTACTGACGTTTGTAGAAAAAAATATTTTTAACTCACTCTCAGTATTTTAAATAACTCTACCTATAAAAATCTGGTGAATGAATTATTTTTATCCGGATCTCTTTTACTTTGTTTCTTTGAACTTCCATCAAAATGGAATAAAATTTTGTAAACATCACGTGAGTTAAAATGTTTATTCGTTCCAGGAAATCAACCCACTCGCCCTATGAGTTCGTGAATTCAACTTTTTCCTCATGAATAATCATTCATTTAACTCACTTGGTGCATAAATAACTATTAACTCACTAAAGTAATACACGTCTACTTACCTTTGTTTTCATTTTTAAACGTCAAGATCGGATAAAGAAAGTAAAGATAAGGTATAGACAATTTTTTTCCAGTGTTGTCTTGTAATTAAATTTAAAAATTTAAAACTTCTGTTTTTCGAAAACGACTGCAATAAATTCAAAAAACTAGGCACCGTTGAAAAGAGAATTCGATGACCTTTGAAATGAGGTATCACTTGACCCCTAATGCCATTTGAGATTTAAGGGTTGGAGCTTACCCCCGTGAGAGGGGTTGAAGTGACAATATTAGAAATATGTGCAAAACATTTCACCCTCCGAATAAAAATCGACGGGTCTGAGCGATTTTTTCCAATGAACGATAAATACGAGATATCGGCCTTGTTTCGTTTTCATTGGCTCACCCTGTATATAAATTGATTTAAAACATATAATTTTCTAATGAAATAGTTATTTATATTTGCATTTTATGCATTTACACTCCAGAGTAAAACAAAGCGTAGCGCGTAGCTCGTCTATACATGAACACCGCGTTGTACCACAGCCTGATTTGCAACCAGACCACACCTTACTTGTTCTCTACAGGCATTCCATATTATGTGGCAAAGTAGACCATAATGGTTCCCAAATTCCTCCCGAATTGACCCAATCCCATTCACTAAGTTCGGATAAGGAAACATGGGACTCATCCCTTGCTCGGCCCCATCATATTTGACTCGCATAATAGGCAGCCCTTAAAGTGTGCTGTATTAAAGCACCTGATATGTAGGGGGTATCACGTGAATGGGAACATGTTCGATGCAAAGAGGTATTTGCTAAGTTTATTTCCATCACTATGCTCTCCTTTTAGAGTATACATTTTTTAGGTAACCTCTCCTAATGATTTGAATATATTATCCGGAAGACTTTTTTGTGGGAACGCAATGAAAATAAAAGTGTCAATAATGTACTCCTCGGAGGGAAGAAATGTTTTCCAAGTTGTTTTTTTTTGCCTTTTGTGGCAGAAAAACAGACACTTCACAACTTGTAAAGGCGTAACAACCCCTAAGTGCATACATTTTCTTTTGCCCAACTTTTTAGACAGTTGGTGTATTAATTACAGTGTGTCCAAGATAAGGATGGGATAGCATTAGTATCTGGAGTTACAATGTTGGTTAGATTAGGAAAAAGTTGCGCAATTTAACGCTCAATAAAATATTACTCTGACATTTGGAGAATTCCGAACACTTTCGGAGATATCCGGAAAAAAACGAAATTTTGCAAAATCGATTTTATTTTTTTCTGAGCTTATTTGAGGAGACATTCCAAAATAAAAATCACTTCTCGGTAACAACTTTTTCTACTCTACAAGATGACATTCTCAAATTTAAAATCTGACGTTTCGTCTTTGGGCCAACATCATCAACTTCATTTTTTTAAATACGGCCCTTCATTTTCTATTTCAGATTTTAAGAGCTTCTGATGTCCCAAAACCTATGACGTATCGCATTTATTGATTTTTTTTTTTTTAACTTTTTAGTAATTTCCTACCAAAATTCTCTTCTCTGTCTCTCTCTTACACATTAAGTTCTTACGGAAAGTGCCAATATTATCAATTTTTCCAAGAAGTGCTCGCACATTGGTTTTGGGACATCAGAAGCTTATAAAATCTAAAATAGAAAATAAGGATCCTAGTCCAGTCACGTTGTGGTTTCACCTACCAATTTTGAGGTAAGAAGCTGAAAATTGGTATACACCTTCATTTTGACGTTCTAATAGTTGTCTCAAAAGTCACAATAAATTTGGCCAAGGCTTCTTTAGTTATTGCAGGTCAAAGGTCACAGAAATCGGGTTTTTGCGATTATCTCGGTTTCTATTGCTCCAACGATATAAACACTTATTACAAAAGTTAGAGATAATAAAATTCCTAAGCAATTTTGTTTGAAACTTTTTTTTATAAAATGAACCATTCTTGAGATAGAACGGGTTTTCGTTTTATTACTATTTTCGAACGAAAATCATTCGAAAACGATCCAAGTTTGCTAAAATCGATCCACAATTACCAATTTCAACCTCTTTGTAGCCGCCATTTTCCAAACTGTCGCCATCTTGCTTCTATGGGTCCAAATAGAGTGTAATGCGGGTCAAATCGCTTTTATTTGTAAGAAATTCATCTCAAATTTCATGCTTTTATCACAATTTACAAGATTATTCGAATAACCGCCTCGACTACAGTAACAGATTCAATATTCAAAAAATTCTTAGGAAATAGGGTGGCATGCGATTTAAACTGAACAAACCATATTGATGCAACTTTTGGAACCTTTCAATATACTTCACAATCAATTAAAATCTAATGCTGGTAACTGGAAATTGAAACGCTTGCATTGAAACCTGTGGAAGACTGTTTATCTAGTGATTGGCTACTGGTAATGGATTTCAGCAACCGTTATCAGAAGTAATAATATTCTTGAAAAAAAAAAAAACACTTTTTTCACCCAGAAACAACCCAAATAATTTGAAGTTTGGCTGTGAGATGTCTAACCCAATGAGAAAAGCCTATAAAATTTGCTAAACCATATTTAACATAAAAAAAAGTTATCATTTGGATATGGAGTTGCTCTTCTACTTCAAATGCAATATTTTCAGGTTGAACCATATACCTCATAGATTATTCTGAGCGAAAAATGATACCTAAAGTTTTTAGCAATAAAAAATATAATCTTTTTTTTCTTTTCCAGGTAAGCTACTTAATCCAGATATTCGGTAAGCAATTTATGCTGATTTAATATGCGATAAGAATTGGCAATTTAAAGGTGAATTTTTGCGCATATATACTTAATTGATATTGTTTATTCGAGTTTGTTCCGTTGAGTCAAAGTTAATATAAATACCTTTTTAGGTTGCATACCTAAAATCTTCAAAGCTGAAAATATTCCGACAATTAATTATCCAGTAAATTTCGGTTTCCGGTGTTTTTTCTGGGCAACTCTGCCAATTAACGGATAATATTTCTTCCTGCGTTTGCGTCACTAAAAAAGGAACAACCTAGCTAGCTTATTAGCTTCGGAGTACGTTTTAGATTCCTGGGTATTTCCGAATTCAAAATATTTTCGAATTATATTTCTGCGCAGCAATTAAACTTTCACTGAATATGCACGGGATCTTTCTCTTTTGTAAATATTTTTTTTATGAGTGAAAGTAGCATCTTTTATTTTTTATAAAGCTTTGTCCATACAGAAATAGGCCTTTTTGTAATTTCAAATAACGTACCAAGGTAAGATTTCCGCAACCTAAAAATAGTAAGTGCTTTTCTCCACGTTTAATTATTTCGCTCAAGCAAATGGTGTTCACAGAAAACCTCTTTTTCGAACATTCATTTGAATGATAATAAACAGAACGAGTTTAATGCCATGAGTTTTAGTTCTATTTTATTCGTAGTAAGCAAAGGAAATATGTAATTTCCATTGACGTAATACGTCACGAAAAAACGGGAACGATCTAATAAATTATGTTTGGTTATTTTAGTAGCATGTGCTGACGATTTTTGGCTGAAAAAAGCCAATATTTTATAAATTATAAATTATCATTTGAAGTTGAGGGCAATGTATATATGGTACATGTTTTTTTTTTATCGGTTAAAATAGAGTTTAATTTTTGTACGACATTGTACAAGCTATGGCAAAATTTTCAAAGCTGAAACTCATAAGGAACATCGAGACTGAAGAATATTTATTTCACATTAGAAGTAGGTATGTATGTGGTGCCATTCATAATGGGCCAACAAATTGTGTCATCATATGTTTTAAGATGTTTTCCACATGGAAATATGAATTTAGGGATCTTATGCTTATGGAACCGAATCCGTTCGAGCATCGGTACAAATTCTTCCCAGTTATCATCCTCCAAGAGATACCGCAAACAGTAAATTTCCCATTTCGCTTCAGTCCATCTGGGGCCGGATTCTCGTCTCAGGGAGTAGAGCTCCCCGAGAGAAAAAATTTTTCGTCTTTATCGTTCTTGTTCACGTTTCGATTACGTTGACAAGGACAAAACATTCTTTGTATCGAAGAGCTCTACTCCCTGAGACATGAATCGGGCTGCTGGTGAATTACGACTTACTTTTGTTTCGTCTAAAAACAAAAATCGCTTCCCAGTCGTCAATGGCCTAATTTTTGTGTTCCTCTGCAAAACGCAGTCTGGTAGCTTATTATACTCTGCTGACTAATGCATATGTGCAGTCCTCCTTCATTGAGCCTCCTGACCGCTCCATTTTGAGGTACTCCTAGGCCTGGCAGAACGCCTGCTTCTTGAAGCAAAAGATTTCATTCATATACCTGTTGACTTATTTCACTTCAGGATAGTCATGGAGTATCATTGATCGTCCCTGGCTTCGGTAGCACTGCCTCGATTCGGGTAAAAGCTAATTCGTCTTATTACCCACATGTGTCTAGTAGGTTGGTCCGGTCTGAATATTGCATCTATATGCTTCTCACGAATATGTCTAACTGTGCGGCTGATAATTATGATTGGTCTATAATTCCTAATAAATTAGCCACATCCCTGGTTCATAAGAGAGATGCTTCTTCTTCTTTCAAATATCATGCCCTTAACAAAGTACATATTCTATTCATTTATTGACATAAAATCAAAAAAATCACTCGCTCAACTAAATTCAAATTAAAAAAATTGAATTTCTTATCGCCGATTGAAAAATTTTACTTCGCATCACCTAGATGAAATGTGATTTGGAACCTAATGACTTTTCATGTTCACAATTTCTTTAATTTTTTACTTAAATACTCACAGATAACATAAATACAATTGCTTATGAATATAACGGTCAGACAAAAGAATTATCTGTTCGCATATCACACATGAAATATAATCCAGGCATTGGAATAAAAACTTTGTTAATCCTTATGAGACGCAAAGACTACGCGACTTAGAACAAAAAGTGACAAAATCTTTCTGGCACCCCAGACTTTAGACATCTACTTTCACTCCGGCAGAAAGAAATATATTTTTTTCCGATCCAGAAAGAACGACCAGCATAATTAAATTCTGTGAGAAATTAAATTTTTCTCGTCTTTCTTCAAATCATCAAATACTTCATTTATTGTACAAGCGATAAGTGTCCAAATCCTCTGTCATTGCCTAATACCACTGGATTATACTGCTTCTAAACACTTCTAGATTATGCAAGATGATGCGAGTGACTGAGACCTGCGAGAAATATTTTTTCACGGCACTGGATTCACCAACTGGTCAGTATATGTTATGTTATTGGATTGAAACACGTAGGTATAATTTATAACTTTTAAATAAGTTTAAATAAAGGAAATCACAATTCTAGAGATCATACATGAAATCTGTTTTTTAGCCATCACTTAACCTCACTAATGTCAATCGTCTAAAATCAGCTGCATCTAGAATCAGCTGTTCTCAAACAACTAAGTTATTATGGTGTAAATCAGTGACTACCAACAGATCCTAAATTATAACAATAGAACGATAAAATGTAACTTTCTTAATTATATGACATCTTTCCCTTTTAAAAATAAAGTTAAAGATGTATCTCTAATAAGTGACATAATCATTAAATTTTGCTGGATTTTTAATGGTTCTACCCCTACTGCTTTCATACATGGAGATGTCATGTTAGTTAGCTTATCCACTGGAATATTTTGCTTTGTTTCAGAACTCTGTTTCTGATCGACACTGATTTCTGAAGTCAGGAAAATGTCTCTCAATATGAAAATCGTTTCGTATAATTTTCTTTTATTTTCCAGCTTCACTTTTTCACTCTCAAAATCGACTTTTTCTGGTATCAAAAGTTTTGTCGAAATTGGTAACTTTGTCTTCAATCTTCTGCACTGCACTAGCTGAGCTGGAGATTTGTCAATGCCTGATACAGGTGTATTTCTGTATTTAAGTAGTGCTACTTGCAAATCCTCACATTTCCTTAAAATATTTTTTGATGTTTGCACTGCTCTCTCAGAACATCCATTCGAGCGTGGATATCTCGGTCTAGAAGTGCTGAATTTGAAGTTCCATGCTTTGGCAAACTCTCTACACTTTTGTGCACTATATGGCATATTGTCCGAGACTGCTTCCACTGGAATTCCAAATCTAGAAAATATGGTCTTGAAACAATATATTACAGTATCCGCAGTTTTGTCCTTCACATCATTTTTTAAAAGTTGTCTCAATGGGGCTGATATTTCTGACAAGTTAGGAATGTAGCTACGAAAATAATTGATCATGCCCAGAACACTCTGAAGTTCTTTTTTGTTGGTTGGCTCCTTTAAATTTTGAATAGCCGCATTTTTTTTTTGTCAGCTCTCATTCCTTCCAAGCCAAAAATATTCCCACAATATTTTACCTCACTGACCCTATATTGAATTTTATTTTCGAAATCGATTTAAATTAATATCATGTTGCTCCAGTGAGTCTCCAAATACTGACAAATCATCAAAATAAATGAAACATCTAGGCAAATCAATAAAATTCTCTTGATTCAATTTTTGGAAGAACTCTGGAGCACAATTTAAACCAGTGTTGCCACAAGCTCTGAAAATTTCGTGGCAGATTATACTTTTAAATGGGGCCAGACTTCAGAATTTCGGGCCAACTAATTTTCAAGAAAAAAGAAGAGAGAAAGCCCGGCGCGGGCGCCGCCGGAGGCAGAAATTTTTTTTGGGTGCCACGCCCAAAAACGTTTATTTTGCATGAAAAAATAATGATTTGGCTTGTTATGGAGAAACGGGCCAGATTCGAAAAAGAGTGGCCAACGGGCCACTCCGTCTGGAAAGGGCCAGATCTGGCCATATGGGGCCACCTGTGGCAACAGTGATTTAAACCCATTGGTAATCTATTAAATTTAAAAGAACGCAAAATTCTTTTTCCAAAGTTAAATCAAGATCACGGGGATCCAAGCAAAGTCTCAAAGATTTATCATGCTTCTCCACTATTACCAGGTTACTCAACCACTCAGTAGGCCTCTGGCATGGAGAAATAACTCCTTTTTTAATCAATGCTTCTAAAGCTTCTTTCAGTCTGCGTTGAACTGCGAAGGTACTCTGCGGGGTGATCTCACAACTGGCAAAGCATCCTTTTTAAGTTTCAGGACACATTTTTTCTGAAATTTTTCTAGACCTGTAAAAATATCAGAATTATTTTTGATAAATTTCTCTTTTGAGTCATAAATCACAGCATTTATTGTTGGTAGAATTTTTAAATCTTTACAAGATTCAAAACCCAAAATTGGTGAACTTTTTGTACTCTCTACTACCATAAATTTAAGATTTTTAACATTATTTTTGTAACTGCAATCCACATTAATGATACCCAATGGAACAATCTTAAAACCTCCATAAGCTTCTAATGTTACTTTTGGTTTTTATAATTTTACATTTTTCAACTTATCTGCTAAAATCTTGGGTAAAACATTAACATGAGATCCAGTATCCACTTTAAAGTTAATATTTTCACCTCCTACCTTGATATTTTCCATCCATTCTTTACCATTCTTTTTTAATCTCATTTACACTCATTGACGATACCACATAATCCACAGTCTCACCATCCGACTCACCATCATCAGCTTCTTGGAACCTCTCTTACTTGCCTCTGATTCCTGCTACCTGATGCAGTTGACAAATTGCGGCACTTTTGATTATCACGAGGATTATCATCTCTGCTCTGATTAGGTACATTACTTTTTTCAAATTTTCTCTGGTACTGACTGACCTTTGGATTTAATG